AGGCAAAAGCGTTGAAAGAAGTTCACGCTTAAGTAAATTATCTATGGAAATAGGAGAAGATAACTTACTCCGTTTAAATGGGCGTTTACCTTTTAAGTCTAATTTGACCGAGGAAAGTAGAAAACCTGTCGTATTAGACGGTAAACACGAAATCGTTAAAATGATGATTAGAGAAGTTCATCATCATTTTGGACATGCCAATCACCAGACGGTGATGAATGAGGTGAACCAGAAATTTTATGTCTTGAACTTGCGTAATGTAGTACGAAGTGTGTCACATCATTGCCAGTGGTGCAGGACATACAGGTCAAAGCCGCAGAACGTGCCACAAGGAAATATTCCTCTGGAGAGAATAACTCATCATGAACCACCTTTTACATGCTCAGCCGTGGATTATTTCGGACCTATGAGTGTGACTATAGGAAGGCGACACGAAAAACGCTGGGGTGTTTTATTTACGTGTCTGACCACCAGGGCAGTACATCTGGAATTAGCAGCCTCATTGACACCAGCGTCAATGATAATGGCATTGAGGCGATTTATCGCCAGAAGAGGAAAACCAGCCGTTATATACAGCGATAACGGGACAAATTTCAAAGCTGCGAATAAAGAATTATTGAAAGCATGCGAAGAATGCTATGAGGGCATGAAAAATGAGTCATTTAGAAAATATATTAAATGGAAATTCATACCTCCGGGAGCACCGCACATGGGTGGCGCCTGAGAGAGGTTAGTAAGATCAATTAAAATTGCGTTGACCGCTACGCTCAAAGAAAGGAGCCCGCGAGAGGAGGTTCTGCATACGTTGCTTTTGGAAGCAGAGCATACTGTAAATTCCAGACCTCTGGTAACATTCAGTATGGATAGTCCTGAAGAGGGTTTGACACCCAATCATTTTCTTCTGGGACGCTCATGTGGTGATCGACCACCTGGATTATTTTTAGAGCAACATATGACGGGTCAACTCAATTGGAAATCTGCACAGAGGTTAGCCGACCATTATTGGACAAGATGGCTAAAAGAATACATGCCTACTTTAATACCTCGAACAGGTAATAACGGAAAGTTCATGGAACCTAAAGAAGGTGATATTGTCTTGATAATACGTGGGCCGAAAAGCAAGATTAGTAGGACGCTACCGGGACCAGACGGTCACACTAGAGTGGTTGACGTCATTACTAGCACAGGTATCTTGAGGAGACCTGCTTCCAGAATAATAGTGTTGGTACCCGCGACGCCTCCCAAATGATGGTGCTGATGCACGGGGGGGAGATTGTTGGCGACGCGCCTATAAGAATATTTCAATTTATTAAGTTAACCGATTACGAATAGCTTCTAAAAACAAATTATCAAGCAACAATACTCCGATAAGAAAATGCTTAGTTGAATCTTAAAGAAATATCGAATTAATGATATGAAGGTCTTGGGTTCGACTCCCAGGCCGGAGTCGTTTATCGTTTTCTTAGTAATATCTCTTAATAAATTCATATAGGGAATTTTTAAGATATAAATTATGTTACCGGATTTGTTCCCCGGTTCTCCAAAAATAAGGAATATTAAAATAAAGTTAGAGATCGGATTTATTCCCCAGTCGAGATGATCACTTTGTGAGTAAATAGAATTAATGAAAATTAATAGCATAAGTGTTGTCTTATATGGGTTTGATATGTTTTGTATGAAAACAAATGCCTATTTGCTATGATTGATTTATGAAAACATTCACCTATATTGTTATGATAAGAAACATGATAACTGATAAGAATATGATTAGAAATAGTTTCCTACAGTTTGAGAATTGTGTAAAAGCATTTATTCACCTTAGTATTGTTGATATTGGTATATACTAAACTTTCCATTTTTACTGATAGTGCAAAAGTTAGTTGTTCAAATAGTGTGAGTTCATAGACGCACGCTAGCCACGTACTTAGGAGGCCAAAAATGTAGAAATTTAAATATTTGCAATTTCAGCAATTTATGTAAAAATGACTTGTAAAACATTTCACATTGATTGTACGTGTAAAAGAGGTGAATTCTGTGTTATTTTTATGTGAAAATTCCTGTGAATAAGTGAAATAATGATAGTTTTGTATAACAAAATTTAAAAGTGTTTTAATAGTGAAATGAATAGGAAAAATGTAAATTAAACTATTGTATTAGTTAAGATATGTATAATTTCAAGTGGAAAACACTGTTTTAACTTTCTATGTTAAATATTTAAGAAATTCCAACTTTGAACGTGTGAGTAAAATAAGCATATTTTGTTAAATAAATAAAAGGTTTTTTGTGATATGAAAATGTAATGTATATCGTAGTATAGATATTTTATTGCGCTATCTATACAAGTAAATTGTGTTAATGTATGACTTATGCAAATAAAGTTATTAAGTAAACCGTGAGAGAGTGATAGAACAAATTCATGTAATTGAGTTGCGCAAGCGCGCGAATGGCGCGGCTCACTTTCGCGTATAGCTCTGGGGTAGCTCAGTAAACGGGTTTTCTTGCAATTCGTTCGGGAATCGTTCGGGGAAGTTTCGGGAAAGTTCGGAGAAACTTCGGGAATCGTTCGGGGAAGTTTCGGGAAAGTTCGGAGAAACTTCGGGAATCAGACCAGCAGTCAATAGAAGAAGAAAGAAAAAAGTGTAGGGAAGTGATAGGGAAAAGTAATTACTCTCTCACGGAACGGTTTGAAGATAATTGCTGTTTTATTCCCAAGAAATCATCCCTCAAAATTATACAGTCCACATCGAAGAATTAAGGCGTTGGGACCGGGACGACTTCGGAAGACCCGTAATCCCCGTCTGAACCTATTTGCTGAAAAGGAAGAGGTTATCGCCCTTGTGTGTTACTCCGTTGCGGAGATCACATACGTTGTTCCCGAACCCAACGTAGGCGTTATAGGAGGCCGGATCGAGAGAAGCCTCGATTCCCCCTTCTGTTTCTTAGTTGAACGTTTACACACCGTTGGTTCCTTTTCACTGATTCACTTTATTTCGCTCCGAAGCTTCGCTTGTCTTGACAAATTCAATACTTCTCCGCTCGCATCTTGCAGCGTCTTTAAATACACATTATCACCGAAACATCCAGAATATTCAAGTAAATACGCGCGCCAATCGACTAGGCGCCGAAAGTTCGAGTGTCGGGCTTCTAGAAGCTTAGTTCTTCGTGTCGATACTAGATGGCGCTGTCGGTTGAAAAATTAGTGATGTCATGTTCTGGAATGCTCTCCTCGCTCCGTTACCCGACACAGATGGCGCTAGTGCCGGGTACATGACGTCAACTTAGCCGCGCAACAATATCATCCGCAATGTCATCTCATCCCGCAGGTGTCGTAAGAGATGATTGAGGAAAATTGAACAAGAGGTGTATAGCAGTATCTTTCACATTGCCACAAAAATGCAGATCCTAAATCGCATATGAGGCCATCTATGGGAGGCTTATGTTTAGCATCAACAGTACACTTTTGATAAGTAACCTTTAAATATATAATAGATAATAGCATTAAAAATAATATAACATAGCCGTAGTTTATGTCGCTTGGAACTTTTATTGACTCAAAAAAAGCGTTTGATTGAATTGATCGCGCACTATTATTAAAGAAACTTTTACATGAAGGTATAAATGGAAATGTTTTAAAAAAATTGAAAATAATCTTAATAAAAGAAATCAAAGTGTTAAAGATTGGTCACTATCAAAGTTCCCACAACCCATGGTATTCCGTATGGTATACCATGGTGTAGTTCCCTAGGTTTGGTGTTCCCCAAGAATCTATATTAAACATACACTGCTGCTACTATAATATCAGTATCCTAATGAAGAAATTATTAGAATACCGTAATTACCATCCCACCATTGATTGCATTCGGGGGATGTAGCACAGTTGCCACGCTTAGCAAGCGGGTTGGTTAGAATATCAACGCATAATTGTTGCCTTTGTTAAACTACTTTTATATTTTTGTAAGTTATTAATTATTATAATCATTTGTGACCAAACTTTATTTTCACATTCGATATGATTTCGTCATTTACATTAGCTTATAATAACTCTAATAGTTAGACATTATGCCCACCATGACCGAGCACGCCGGTTCGAAACCCGCAATGTTGTAAAATGTTTTAGTTTTTATTTTTTGTTTTTTAATAATTTTTTAATCTAACCTGCATAGCCCAACAAATCGCCAAAATCAAAATATTATTTGCGGAGGTATGTACATTTTATGGTATGAATCATGTCGTCAAAGCTGTGGTCGAAAAAAGATTACGGTATATTTTTAAAGAATACTTTAAATAAAAAAAATGTATGTTCTATATGTACATAACTGGGTTCTGCTACTGATTGGAAACGGGCCTTACGTGCGATAAGTATTAAATTTTGTACTTAAATAAAGTTTCACTTTATCTACAAATTTACGTGTAAGAAAATTATATATTTTTTTATAATTTCAAAATATTTCGGTCATCTAGGCACGATAATATTATAAACACAGCGTACGCTTGCAAGATGGTTAGAAGAATATAGAATGAAATAGATTGTTTTCGCGTGACCACACATGGCCCCAGTCGAGTAATGGTTGAAGTACCACCGTCCACTATGCTACAGCGCCGCGGTTTCCGTGCGGAACGCGGGGTGTAATCGTTACTTTTTCTAGTTCAGTACTACCTACCTACTCTTAAGTATGGGACAGTTTTTATTTTTGACTAACTGTGCCGGGGCTTTTTTGACAGAAACACTCGCGGATACGCGAACATCAATATAAAAAATTTGCATCTTTAACCTAATAAAGGTTGTTTTTTGACTCAGACTGGTATTCCAAAACGGGACGTATATAAACCATAAAACACACGATATTACTAAAATACACGTAGATTATAATGTTAAAATGGGGTTGATCAAGTAGATCTCTATCATATCGGTAGATATTATGCCTAGAATCTGTTTTAATATTTCAGTATACTTAAACACTCAATTATTTAAAAATATTTTTTTCATTTCAGTAACAAAAATGAATCTCTTGAAGACTTTTTCACTGTTTCTGCTACTTGGATTAGCAGTTTCCGCTCCAGCACCTGACAAAAGCGAGGAAAGCAAAGAGAGTAAAGAAAGTTTAGAAAGCAATGAAAGCAAAGATAGTGGTGAATATGACCAATCTACTATTACTAAAAAAATTTACTACGATTCTCCTGTTGTGTATAAAGGTAAACATGAAATTGTAAATATCATTGTTCCCCTAAATTCACTGAACTTTGATGATGAATACGAAGGCGACGACACAAGCATCGACCGCAACACTATTTTATTCTTCGTCGAATCTGATGAAGATGGAGCTGGCAATAGAATTGATAAAGGTCTTTATGTCCTCAAAGACGGTAAAGCTAAGAAATTATTAGATAACGGACGAGACGCCGCTGCTTCTTTTGACAATAGCAAAGACGTGTTTTTCAGTGCAAAAGACGGAATTTATAAATATGACCCGAAGGAAAACATAGCCGTAAAATACGGTACAGTAACAGACAGTATTATTGGCATCGCTAAAGAAAACGCCACAGATGTTATTTACATTTTAACTGAAGATCACAATCTGTACAAAGTTACTGAAGATGGTCAAAAAAAAGTCAAAATGGATGACGTTGTAGGTGCTCGAGAAATTATTTTGGATTACTCTAACAATTTATATTTCTATGATGAAAATAAGCAACCTTATTTTGTAAATGATGACGGAGTGAAGAAAATAGTAGGTTTACCTAAAAATCCGACTTCTGTCAGACTTATTAGGCCACCTTTTGCTATTGATAATGGCGCACTTTTCATTTCTGATAACGTTGCATATCTTATTTATCCAAATGGAACAAGCGAAAGGACTAATTTCAATTTCAAATCGAACGCTAAACCATCAGCTTTTGGTCTGGAGACGACGACAATTCATTACTACGCTTACCATAAGAAAATTTACGAATACAACGTTCTTTCTCGCGTCCCATCAGGATCTACTATTCAATCAACGGCGACGCGATCCAGGAGTTCCTTGAAGGCTCATTCGAGTCATTTTATGCATTCTTAGAAATCCTATTGGACTCTATTAAGAATCACAGCTAGACAAAGCCTCCTTATAGAATGTAATAGCTAAAAGTAAAGTGTTTATCATAGCATCATTATACAAAAAAATAAAACTCTAGGACCTTTGCTTACTTTCGTAAGAAGATAATTAAATAGGCAAATCAAACCAAAAGTACAAAATAATATACGTAATTTAATCATACCACTTTATTGTACCCTAAAGAACAAAAAAAAACTTTTTTGTTTGTAAAATTTAGACATAAAGTAATCATCAGGAAGACAAGGATCGTTCGTATCAATAGAATTGTGCCAATCATAATACAGTTTTTTGCTTTGAAAGCCATTACAGTGATGTTAAATCTAAGCTGTCCAATTTTGACTGGCAAAGCACTTTCAGTAAAGTAAAAAAATCTCTGAACTCTCTTTTTAGGCATATGAATTAAATTTGTTCTAATAGATCTTTCGGGAAAAAGTACAATTTACTATCAATGTACTCATAAAATGCATTACCCTTACTGTCAAAAATAAAATTTTATGCTTTTGGCACCCTTTCATATCTTTTGACAGCTCCGGATCCGTTAACTGCTATGGCGCAGTTGTTATGCACATACAGTTGTCAGTTTTATCAAATAATATATTTGAAACATCATCATCTCCGATAGGCCTTTCAACAGTTATCTCACTTCTAGAATAATCTTTTATTGCCAGACCCTCATTGGTGCCAACGTATATAACATTGTTATTGATATCTATTCGTACACATTGGCCAATCAAGTCGTCATAGACCAATGGTTATTGGACGGCAAGACGCCGAGCCTTAACAGATATATTTCCCTCGTATAGTTTGTGTTGTGAATCAAGAAAAATATACTTTCAGTTCTTTGATCTACCACCAGACCAGTTTGAAAGCCGTCTATGGCGGTGACGAGTTGACGTTTGTAGTATTCGTTGCCAATTTTGATTCTTTCACATTATTCTGCGTTGTTTTCGCTTAGGCTTATGAGGATTACAAGTATAGCAAAGATGTTCCGTTTCGGATGCATCCTAAATTCATGTGGCTTTAGGAAATCCATCATCCCATTTCATCCCGTGTGTGTCGAAAGAGGCGACTATGACGAATGCCACGAAAGATCTTATAACATGCAATCAAAGGCGATAATCATCTCGTTTACGCCAGATGCAAAAAAATCCAAATTGCTGACGCCACGCACCGGCAACAGTGCGAGACGTCTTGTTCCGCGATCGTCAATCTGCCTGCCATACCTGGCAATTAAGGCAAGTCTTCCTTACAATGGGAGTTGGGCCTATGCACAACTGGGGCCATTTGGTGGCTGATAAATAAATAAATAATAATATATTATATAATTATATGCGTTTCCGTTTTCCGAAAGCTCCTTGAATATTACTTGCCATAATATGATCTATACACATATGTTGTCTTGTTGTTTCTGTTATATTATGCATTTCGAGTCCATAGCCTTTTGATGTAGTTCTTCAGTGATCCAGATTTATTATTAAATATTAATGTATTTATGTCAATGCAATTATACTCTTTTAGTTTATTTTTTCACGTAGCTTATGTAATAAAGCATCAAGTTTATTCCAAATACACTTATTTCGGAGCTTGGTGTCCTATAATACAAAATAGTGATACATTTTTGTTCAGTCAATTCTATACCGCAACATTCAAACTAAATTTCCTTAAAAAATGGTGTAAAAAATGTAAGGTACGATAGATGGCATTGCGTTTTACAAGAATACACACACCACCACGTTTTGATTGTTTTTTTGAGAAACTGGAAGCTAGTTTAAAATTTTTAAAAATTACGTTTTCTTGATTTCCATTTTTACAATTAATGTTTCTGTGTAAATTAGGAATTTGTAGGTTCCTTAATCTGGAGGCGCTCTATTCTATCAGATTTACCAAAGATTCATTATTTAAAATTTTACGTATTGTCTTATTTCTTGTTTGCGAAATAGTAAGGTATTGTAAAATGGCCTTTTTATGTACTTTGTTAATTAATGCTGAACATTTAATAACTGCTGAACGCTATTTAATAATATTTTATAGTTGAGAATAATGTAATAGTATTAATGTAAATATTCTCTTACGAAATAACACTTTTGTTATTGACTACATAGGTACTTTTATAACATTGGAGTTTAACATCTCAGTATTTAAATATCTACAATTTAAAACTTTGAAAATAATGACAGTATGTTTTTTTTTACTTGTTTTAATGTTACCTATATATTTGTGATGTAACTTTTTGTGATGTTTACAAACATGATGAAGATGAAGATATTAATAATTACAGGAAACTTATGTTAAGCGGTAGATTGTAATAATAATAACATTATATTAGAATAAAATACGTAATCTATACACATATAAACAATTCGGAAGAAAAAGCGCTCCTTAACTGTTTTATCCACGTACTCTGGCATAATTGTAACTGAGACTTAAATACAGTGTTCTACAAAAATATCAATTACTTAATCTAAAAATAGTCTGCGATACCATATACCTATTTCTTATACATAAACATGTCAATAAATGACGACTCCGTGGTGTAGTGGCTTAGCAATGAGTGGCTGCGTTCGGGTCAAGGGTTCAAATCCCGCACGGAACAAGTATTTGTATGACCTACAAATAATTGTTCCGGGTCTGGATGTTTGTCCTAGTTCAATTTATGTTTGTAAACTACCCCCACGATACAGGAGAAAATCCTAGTGTAGGGGTATAAAAAATACTCAATGTACAGAAATCGATGTAATACATTTTTTATAATATAGATAACGCCTTTAATAGATCCTATCCAGGCGAAAGTGGGGCGAGTTGCTTGTAACTCATAAAACTGGCAATAATTTGATTGATGATTTAACTAGTCTACAAATCTAGGCTTACCTCAGCTCAAATTCAAATTTTTAGTTTTTCTAGTTTTGTTTTAAATAAAATAAAAAAAAATATTCGTATAATATTGGGTATTTTGTGACAAAATATAGTAAAATTAAAAAATTAATATATTACCGTTATTATTAGGCAACTTCATCAACAAGACAATTTTTTGTAGACAAACGTTGCTCTTGGCTTCGGACGCACAGTTTCAGTGAATGAAATATTAAGATAATTCAACAGTCTGCTCGGCGTGCGAACTACGCATAATTGTAGCCGACCGATGAAAACCGAGAGAAACTAGCACAGAACACTATTACTCCTATCGGAGAACCTGTGAACGTCTCACCAAGAATCATGTCGTGCGGCTCAGACGCTCGATATAAACCGGTGAAACCATAGGGCACGGCTAGTATCGAAGTAACTGCGTGATATTAAGATGGGGGAACTATTTGCATACCATTACGATATGAATAGTCATTTTGAAAATATTTGTCTTGCTTGTCCGAGCTAATCTTGAGAATTGTTGAACTGATTGTAATGAAACTTCACGAACATATACAGTGTAATGCCCAGGAGCATTCTAGGCTATATTTCAAAATCTTTTATATATTTTTTGAATAAATGAACATTTTATAAAATAAACGTTTTTTTTATTATCATAAATGTAAATAACACCACATTTTTATTGTTTTTATTTATTCGTCCAGACGAATCCAGGGCGGGCATAAGAAACTAAAAGTACTGTGGTAGCATATCCTTTGGCAAACATCCGAGCTAATATATTATAGTACTCTTTTAGAGTGTGTTCCGAAATATTATCCAGTATACTGGCCAGTGCAAATTACGTCATAAATCGACGACATACTGGTGATTCGTTTTCAAAACATTGGATATCATACATTTGCGCCGTATTCGAAAAGTGTTGGCGATTATTTTATTTCATTTTATGCTCCAAAAGTTATTATATCCTGTTTCAATTAATTTGTGAAGAATGGAGATACCAGCAATAATTCTATAAATTTTTTTTATTTGAATAAATAGAAACAAATTCTGGCATGGTTCATTCAGCGTACACATGATTAAAAATTGTTTTAATATGGCGGGATATCCGATACAATATGGCAGCGGCACGCCAGTACAATATGGCGTCAATTGATGACGTCATTTGCATTCGCCAGTTTACTGGGAATATATCGGAACACAGCCTTGATAGACTGTATGGTAAGGATTTTTATACATGGTAGAGCCACGTATTTTGGTTGTGGCATGAATTGGTCGGCTCGACGAGGGAAGGACCACGCTCTCATAGAATACCAGCGTAAAATAGCAGCTTAATACTGCTGTGTTTCGTATGGCGAGTGTAGAGATTCGGAGACCCTTTTTTACTGGAAACGAGGTATTCCATCTTAGTCCTGAGGGGTGACAACGCATCAGCGTTTTGATTCTTAATCAAAATACACCTTAAAACACAGTCCTCAGCCACCTGCACCCTTTTACTTCCTGCATTCATTACCAGGTCGTCACTCCATCTAGTATATCAACTGATAACTCTTTTAATAGTTCCGTAAGCCTCTTTATATAAGAGAGAATATAGGATATTCTCTCGTATATTGTAAATTTCACATTCATAAATTACTTGTGGATGAACGTTTAGACCGTGCACAATTTTTAGTAGTTAATACATGAAAAGAAGGGGATTTGACACAAAGGCGCCGCATATAAATGTGCTTCCTAGTTTCAAGTATACAAGGCTCTCATTGTGTCTGATTGTATCACCATTGTGTCACACGTGTCCTATAAAACAAAGGTTATTTTTTGGACTCAGACTAGTATTACAAAACGGGAAGTAAGTATGTACATAAAACATAAACCACTCTGCGTCAATAAAATACATATGGATGATAATGTTAAGATGAGGTTGATCAAATAGTATCATATCTTTAGATATAATACCTAGAAAACGCATTTATTAAAAATATTATTTTCTCATTTCAGTAACAAAGATGAAATTGGTAAATACTTTTACTCTTTTCCTGCAAATTGGATTTTCCGTTGCCACTCCAGCACCTGATAAAAAGTGTAGTAGAAAAGTGTAAACCAGGAAAGCAAAGATATTAAAAAAATCTAGTAATTTATTGTATTTTATTCCCTTATTCCCGATTATAGAGGTAATCATGACATTGTAAATATCATTGTTCCCCTAAATTCACCAAATAATGATGATGATGCCGAAGACATACACAAGCGAGGAAAGCAACACTATTTTATTCTTCGTCGAAGCTGATGAAGATGCAGCTGGCAATAGAATTGACAAAGGCCTCTATATTCTTAAAGATGGTAAAACGAAGAAATTATTAGAAAACGGACGTGACGCCGCTGCTTCTTCTAATTATAGCAAAGACGTGTGCAAAAGACAAGATTTACAAATACGACCCGAAGAAAAATACAACCGTAAAATACGGTACGGTAACAGACAGTATTATTGGTATCGATAAAGATATTATTTAAATATTAACCGAGGATCTCCATCTGTACAGAATTACTGAAGATGGTCGAAAGAAAGTTAAAATGGATGACGTTCTAAGTGCTCGAGTAATCGTTTTAGATTACTCTAACAATTTATATTTCTATGGTGAAAATAAGCAACTTTATTTTGTAAATGCTGACGGAGTGAAGAATATAGAAGATTTACTTAAGAATTCGAATTCAGTCCGACTTATTAAGCCTCCTCTTGTTAAAGAAAATGGCATACCGTACATGTCTGATAATATTGCATATATTATTTATGCAAATGGAATAAGCGAAAAGGCTGATTTCAATTTTGAATCTAACGTTATACCATCAGCTTATGGTATGGAGGTGACCCTAATTCAGTACTACGCTTATCATGAGAAAATTTACGAACACAATGTTATTTTATTCCCCTTTTCAGGGATAAATTAAGATTTATAAAAATTTTGAATATAAAGCGTCTAAGTACTATTCACTCAATGATTAAACAATTTAATATAGTCGAGTAATGTTTTTTATTTAATATTGTAAACATTCTAAAAATCCTATTTGACTCGATTAAAAGTCAAGCTAAAATTAAGGTTAAAAATAATTTCTTGATCCCAAAAGAAGATAAATTAATAGGCGTATCAATCAAAAAGAACAAAAGGCATGTTTATTTGTCACACTCTATAATACAACAAGGTACATGTTTTTTTTTTTAAATATTAGACATAAAATAATCATCGGGAGGACAAGGATCGTTAGTATCTATAGGTCTGTATCTATAAATCTTTCCTCTTGTGCCAATTATAATATTGTTTTTTGCGTCAAAAAACATTGCAGTGATCTTGAACCCAAGCTGTCCAATTTTGACTGGCAAAACACTGTTTGTGAACAGACGATAAAGAGATCCCTTTACAGCTACGATCGCTTGGTCATTATTGTCTATCTGTAGAATATACTTCAACTCCCTTGTCAGGCCCTTGTATTGAATTGGTTCGAATAGATCTACCGAGAAAAAGTACAATCTACCATCAATATACTCATAGAATGCATTTCCCTTACTGTCGAGCATAAAATTGTATGCTTTTGGCACCCTTTCGTATCTTTTGACAGCTGCGGATCCGTTTATAAATCTGAATATTTCGTGCTGCGGCCCAGTTGTTATATACATACGGTTGTCCGTTTTATCGAAAAATATATCTCTAACATCATCATCTCCAATAGGCCTTTCAACAGTTATCTCACTTCTAGAATAATCGTATATTACCAGACCTTGGTTTGTGCCAATGTATATAACGTTATTGCTGACATCTATACCAACACATTGACCAATTAAGTCATCAGAAACCGGCAGTTCTTGGACGGCCAAGGCGCCGTGCCTCAAAAGATATATTCCCCTCGTAAAGTTTCTGTTGTGAAGCAAGAAAAATATATTTTCAGTTCTTGGATCTACTACCAGACCAGTTGCAAAACCGTCTATGGTGGCGACGAGTTGACGTTTGTAGTATTCGTTGCCAATTTTGATTCTTTCACATTTGTCTGCACTGTTTTCATTTAAACTTATTAGAATAGCAAGCAAAGCAAAGACATCCCGTTTTAGATGCATTTTAAAATCATGCCAATTTCGGTTATCCTGGAAAAAGAATTTAGGGTAAGTATAATTAATAATTGATTCAAATGTGTGTATAAATAATTGCCGTATGATTTAAGGAAATCCATCACTCCATTTCGTCCCGTGGGTGTCTTTTTTTTATAGGATAAGGTGACAAACGAGCACACAGTCCGCCTGATGGTAAGTGGTTGCTGCGGTGGGCCGACATCTACATTTATCCTCGATTACGAATCAAAATGCAGATGCGTCGAGTCGAGCCGACCCATTCGTACTACAACTATACAATTAATATAGCTGCAGCACGTCTCTACCACGTAAGAGGCGACATGGCGTCTGTGGGGCATATCATCCACTTACCATCAGGTGGACTGTGATCTATTGTCAGCCCTATTCTATAAAAAACGAATAAAAATTGTAATAACAAAAAATTATGATTTATTATTTTTAGACTCTAGGCCATAGGGTGCAGTGTGGCAGTGGCGGCGTTGTAAGGATATCTTCTACCAGATGTCATCCCGTGGGTGTCGTAAAATGTGACAGAGCAAAACTGAAACAGATATAGCCGGTATAATTATTGCGAATTCTATCTTTTTTTCTTGTTCAAAGCTAGTGCTTAACTAGAATCCCAATTGTCTTAGTTCTCAGAGATGATCACGCATCTGCATTCTTCCTTATTTTCAGGGTTGCACGATGCGGGTATTCAAGGCTAAAGTAACTGCCATCAAGTGAAAATATTCTGTATGTTACTTTGTTATAAGAAATTTTCTTCAATGCATATTAAAAAAATGCATAAGGAAACAGTCAATCTCTTAGCTTATCGTCGTAACAAAGATAATGTCTTTTAACGCGTGTTAATGTAAAGTTAAAAAATAAAAAGCCTATAATAATGTCCCCGAGACCGAATTTCGTACACGGCGGCCAGTCTCAACGGACACTATCCATCTACACGGGACTGGATCCTTATTCTTATAGTCCGACGGAAAAGCTATCCGATACGACTGGAGGGAGATCAGGCGCAGGACCAACGGCTAATATACGGGCGCAAAACCGCCCGCTTCTTGACTTCGGGCTGCTACTGTAAATTACTTGACATAAAAACCTACTAACAAATTTTAGCTATTCCTCGCATTCGAACCCGGGATCTCATAATTAGCAACTTGTTCACGACTTCTAGGCAGCCAAAGCAAAGCCTATATAGTATATAACTGAACACTATTTTTTTTTCTCGTATTAGAGATGATTATGGAGCAATTTATCAATCCATCGCGTTGGTGAGGATTGACGTATTTCACAAGTCTTCGAAATATTTTTATTCCTGCAGGTTTTCCGACGATGTTTTCCTTCATCGCCGAGCAGATGGTAAATTAGCCCACTACGCCAAATAGCTTGGTTCATGTTTAACCGGCCATGAGTGGAGATCTGTTTATGACTTTGCCTTGGCATATGGTCTTACACAGCTGGTTACTTCGCCTACGCGAATTCCAGATGTGGAGGATTAGCACCTTCACTGTTGAACCTTCTGCTGATTTCTCATCGGGACGGATATCAGATTTTCGTCGACGACTCTCTTGGTTCCTCAGCGTCTTTTTTGTTTTTTATTATCTAGTCTTCAATCTGTCGGATACCAACATGCAATCAAAGTGAATACAGGCCTTAAGCGACACGGCTTTTCCCGTTTGAAAGCCGAAGCGAGACTGATCGGTAGGGATCCGCAAAAAGTATCTATACCTGAGTAGTATCGATACTTTCAGTTCGATACCTAGTATTTTTGTACTCGATACTTTTATTCGAGTATTTTACTAAGTATCGACACTTTCTTAGTTACTCGATACTTTAGTCCTTTACCAAACTGTCAGATAAAAGTCACCTCACAAAAAGTTCAGGCTCGTCACTTTTGTCGCATTTCGTCCCTACAATAAACAAGCGTTTGTGCCGATACGATAAACAACACGATTTTGGAACGAGAATGAAATTTCATCATCATCACTATTGCCCTGCTGAACATAGACTTCCCCCAACCGGTACGAGGTTTTACTAGGTAAGCTTTCTTCCCCGTCGGTTGTTGGTTTTGTCGGAGCTTCAGTCACTTTAGCTTATTAATTCGTTGAGCTATGTGAGGTTAATAATTAATTTAAATAATTTGATTCAGATCATCATACCTGTATTGTTTTTCTCCTCGTTGACGTGACAGTGTCAGAGATTCTAGACACGTCTAGACACTTAGTAAAACACCGGCTTCCTTTGTATATGTTCCGTATAATATAAAGGCAAAGTTTATAAACATAGCTACATGTTGATTTTGATAGGACTAGGCGGATAGAGCCTGATCCAATTTCCTTTAAGAATATTTAAATTATTTTAGCAGTTACAGTCAGTCATATGTAAACACTGATACAAGTCACTCGGAAGGGTAGGCAGAGACTACGGACTTCCATTTGACACGAACAAACCTTTAAACATACATATATGCTCGTAGGCTGATGTTTCTCAATTTGGCCCAGCTTTAATATATCCCCAATTTGATAGATAAACTTTCGTCTAAAGCTTCCCTTGCCAACTCTGATCCAACACAATACACACACACACACACACACACACACAAAAAAAATCTTGTATATATATATATATATATATATATATCTTAATATATATATAAATTACGTGTCACGTTGTTTGTACGCGACGGGCTACTTAACGGATTTTAATCAAATTTGTACACAGTGTGCAGTTTTGTCCAACTTGAGAGATAGGATAGTTTTTTTGCTCATGAGTAACCCACAATTTTTTTTTCTAATTTAAGGATTTTTTATAGGACATGACAAAGGGTCATCGAAAAGGGCAGAACAACGTCTGCCTGGTAAGCTAGTATATATATATATATATATATATATATATATATATATATATATATATATCACAATAAATAAATCACAAACATTCATGTCTGCAACAAACTTTATTTGTCACTCTTTCCTCATTCATTCTTTCTGCATGACAAAATCAGACCGCATTTCTAAAGCATTATTACTACTCTCGTTCTTCTTCTGTAACACTCAATTTTAACTACCATACATTAAGGAAAGGCACACAAAACTGTTAATTGGCATATTTTCAATTGCCTTTTTTGATACATTCTAGCTTACCACAATAGAGTGAAGAACTCCATTTACTTCGTATAGTCACGTTTTTACCTGCATAAAACGATATTACTAAAATATTTAATGTTGACGTTTTCCGTTTCGACAGTTTTCGTTTCACCAGGTATTAAATGTCCATAGATAAGCATTTATTCTTATTTTTTTATTTATTCTTAGTTGTACACATAAATTAAAAGGATTACAAAGGGTGGACTTAATGCCTTTTGGTAGTCTCTCTCAGTCAACCCTCGACGTGTGGAAATAATGTGATAGGTGTCAAAAATAGTACTTTTCTAAAATACCGCACTATGATGCAATTTATGGAGAAGCAGAAGTGGAATTTTGACAGAGTGCAACAGAGTAACATTTAATTGGCTTATCAAAACCCGCTTTAACGATAGGTTTCATCCTTGAGAAAATTATATTTTTTAATAATTGTGAACCAAACTCAGTCGCCCACCCAGGCACTTACTTTATAAAGTAACTAACATGCAATAACATCACCCTGTTCGTATCCAATTCTAGAACATCTATGAGCACATAGTGATGTAACCTTTGTAATTTTTTAACAACATGATCACGTGGTCCATTTAAACAATAACTTACACAATTCAAACAGAAGCCATCACTAGGCGTTCGAAATTTGATCTTGCAGGAAGTGCATTCTAAAAGAATTGTGATAAATATCGGTACGTATTTAAATTTTCTTAAATATTTTCTTATAAACCGGAAATGTAAGTGTAAATAATATCCACCAGCCCATATCGTAAGTGTCGTAAGAGGCGACAGAGGGGATTAAAACAGGAGGAGATGGGCAGCAGCATCTGCCTGATAACAACATAACATTAAAGAACTGGAGTTTCCGACCCATCTGCCAAGCGTGGTGATTATGGCAAATATCCTCCTATAGGGAAATTAATGGGGGAAGCCTATGTTAAGCAGTGGAGTCTTGATAGTCTGTGAAGGTCATAGTTAATGGTTTATTTATATACGGACAAGTATAAAGACAGTCTCAGAATCTGGGGTCCTATTTTCGAATCTCGATTTGAATGTTGATATACATATTGCTGAATTTCTGGTTGAAAATTATTGTAAACATCTCCAAGTCTATTTCAGTAAATGCGGCCATACTTTCTCTTTTCGTTTTTTTTTTTTGCATGTAACGGTGAGAAAAGAGCACACAGTCCTCCATTGTAAGTGGATGCTGTAGCCCATAGACATGTTCATTCTGGATGTCTACTCACTTCTAAAGACTTATACAAAATACATCATTTATGATACGGTCGGTTACGGTTATCAAAGTAAGGAACCGTGATAGCTCCAGGAATAAGTGCGTGCCGTATATTTCACAGTACGCGAGCAGCCCGGGTTCAATCCCTGCTGGCACCAATGTAGTTTCATTTGTTTGCCACCGACTTTTTTTACGTGTTAGATCCACGCTGCAGCTATGGTTAAAGCACAAATGGGTCCGCTCGACCGGAGTCACCGCTCCCACAGAATACCAGCGTAAAATAGCAGCTTAATGCTGCTGTGTTTCGTACGGTGAGCGTAGAGTACCGGAAGTTAGTACATACCCAGACAGACGTCTAGGAAGAAAAAAGTTCTAATGCTATTTATACGTGCTAGATAATAGAGTAATAATAATTGTTTATTTCGGACAACTTGCACATCCATATGGGTTAGTAAAGTATTAAGTTACTTTCTTAGTAATAAATTAAATAAAGTACAAAAATTACAATAAAAATTAAAAATATAAGGTACATTTTTGACGGCTCCGTAGCGCAGTGGCTTAGCAATGAGTTACATCGCTAAGGACCGCGGGTTCAAATCCCGCACGGAACAAGTATTTTTATGACCTTCAACTAATTGTTCCGGGTGTGGATGTTTGTCCTTGTGAAATTTGTGTTTGTAAACTGTCCCCACGATACAGGAGAAAATGCTAGTGTATGGGTAACGTTTTTTTAGAAAAATATCATAGTTCTTAGAAATGATAACGCATCTGTGCTATCTGTGCATCTATAAGTTGTCCATATAGCTTCAATAAAATATAATGATTTAAGTAGGTCGTAGACAAAAACCTAGTGTAAAGGTAACGTTATTTAAAAAATTGATACTGGTAAACCGGTAACTTTCATGGTCTTAGAGTGACCATCAGGAGAAGGGATAGGTCCCCGTGATTGTCACTTTCCCACAAAGCACCTCCATAACGGTGATGTGAATCGATCCGCTAACGACTTTAGGATGCTATTGGAACTGTTCTCCACTCTACTGATAAGGGAGCTTACGTTTTTTCTACGAATGATGGCTTCGAAGCCATCAGTTTATGCAATATCATGACAGACCTAACATCATCCTAAAGACATTATTGTACTGAATTCGTAGGGTGTCCAACAATTTTTTGAAGTAATTAACCTACAGGTTACCCGTGTACATGTTTTGACAGTGTCATTTAAGAAGCATCACTTTTACCTCTTCCGTAAAACAAGAAAACCTGCGAGCCAACATATTACCTCTACCCGATAGAGCCCCTCGCTCCCTTTCAATATCATCATCGTCTTTGAGCTCGCTTGAGATAACACGCCTTTGATATTTAAGTTTTGTCACATGTTTAATGTTCAAGCCATTAAGGATAATGTGTTAACGGGCATTTACCAGCGGCCTCAATGACCACGTATTCAATCTTTTTGACATTGTACGTAAGGCCATTTACAGTAGCATACTTCTCGCTGACATTCGACATCTTCAGACCCCGTACCGTGGGCTGAGTAGCACCATGTCGTGTGCGTAACTTGTGCTATTTATGCTAATTCCATCTATCCTACAACCAACATGCATGCTACTCTGCTCGGGAAAAAGATAAGCCTCCCTGCCTAACCCTTTTGGTTAGCATACCAAAACTTGAGCACGTTCAGCACTTCTTATATATATATATATATATATATATATATATATATATATATATATATATATATATATATATATATATATATATATAGGTTAGGGTGACAAAAGAGCACACAGTCCACCTGATGGTAAGTGGTTAGTGTGGCCCATAGTTATCTACATCTATCCTCGTATACGATTCACAATGCAGATGCGTTGTCACCCGTGAGAACAGAACTAAGATAGAATGCCTCGTTTCCAGCAAAAAGGGTTTCCGGTTCTCTACACTCACCATACGAAACACAGCAGCATTAAGCTACTATTAGATAGAATACATAAGTGTAACCTGTCAATTGAGAGTCAAATAAATTATTATTATACTGAAAACGTGTCTCCCGGTGGCGGCCCCTACTACGACTATACGACTAATATAATTGCAGTATGGCTCTACCACGTTTATAACGTTTCTTCCGGTACATCCCTATTCCCCAGTTTTTTCCAAAGCACATATAACCACACATACACACCACACATACGACACCATGTGAAAGACCTAAGAGATATCCAGAAAACAAGCATATACCGGCGTCCCACACTAAGTATTATATTGGGTAGTTCGCTTAAGACTTACTATAGTGCTTTCAGTCGAAAGTCCAGGTCGAAATCCAAACTGAGCTTCATATATGCTGGAATATATTTCAATTCAACGTTAAACACACTATCCAATACTTTAGCAATTGCTGCCAGTGAGATAGGGCGGTAGTTCCACCTATCCGAAATATCACCAGTTATATCCTTAACAATGAGCACGACGATGATTTTCATTGTCTTGTGGTAGATAAGAGTAACTTATTCTTAATGAAAAGAACAGAGCCAGGAACCTTGACAGATGAAGTACTGCGTATCGCAGGTGCTCCACACTAATGCCGTCGTGACCGGGCGATTTACCGCTACTCATTTTCTTGAGAGCCTCTCTTATTTGGTTTGCAGTAACGCGCAAGAGCGATGCCTCTCCCTGACTATCTGACTTGCGCTGTGAGCGCTGTAAGCGGAGACCGTAGGACTCATCGGAGAGTATACCTTAAACTGATGCATGAAATCATTGGCAATTTGCCCTGGTTCTCTGATCCCATCCACACTATAACTATTTTGTGATAGCACGAATTTATCGACTCGACCGGGGAAGGACCACGCTATCCCAGAATACCAGCGTGAAATAGTTTGTGTAGTGTGTGAGTGTAGTGAACCAGAGATCCCTTTTATTGGAAATGCATTCCATTCTCAGGGGTGTAAAATTACCTGCATTTTGATTCTTAATCGAGCACAGATTTCGATGTCTATGAGGCACAGTATCCACTTACCATCAAGTTGATTGTTTGTTCGCTTGTCACCGTTATTCTATTTTAAAGAAAATTTTTAAAGAAAAATTAGTAAAGCATTTTCACATCCTTAAACTGTTTCTTTCGTTAATATTACCAGTTATCATTCGAAATGCTTTTTTACTGAATTTATTACAAGCGTTAGCGTGTCTGTAATTGCGTGCATATAATCGCTCCTTTAATGCGATATCACAGTTCTCTTTCAGCTATACATTTCTTCATCAATCAGTCAGATATTGTAGAGTAAAAGTGACTTTAGTTTGTGAAACCTAATAGAAAAAATATTATATACTGTTTTTTTTTTATTTAGGTCCTGGTTCGAATCCTAGGTTATTGGGTTTTTCTGACAAGTACATCTCAGTTCAGGCGCAAAAGGCTGGCTTTACGTGCCTCCCCTTCCCCCCTAAACTTCTTGAATCCACTGCGCACTCCTTGGCAGAAAAACTCAATAAAATATTTTTGACCCGACCCGATATTCGAACCCAGGTCGTGTTTACTACTATACTAACGAGTCAGTCAAAATACTATATAGTAGGTTTGGCAACCTGAATTTTACGATCGTCAAACACGACAATTATGGCTTATTCTCGTTTAAGAAGAGGCACTTTAATAGTCGTGGGGTGTTTCCAATAAGGATAAAACGAGAATCTCAGTTCAATTCAAACCCAAGACCGACTCGATAAACAGTTATGCAGATCTATGATTATCAAAGACAGGGTTGTCAAAACTCAAGGTGAGTTTTTGGTAATTTCGATCTAAGGCGTGAAGTAGACCCCGATAAACTTGCATGACCCTTTGATAATAAATACGCCTGCGATTGAATCGAAGTAAACAACGAAATTACAAACGAATATAAACATAACGGTAAATAAACTATTCTTTTAAGGAAAAATCGTTTGTTTTTGAAAATGGTGTATCATATATTACCACCGCAAGTCTAAATTACCATTATTGTATTACAACGATAACATGTCATATAAAATGATATTGCACGGTGCAGCTTTGGGCTCGACGAGGGAAGGGTAAAGCTCTCATAGAATACCTGCGTGAAATAGCAGCTTAATGCTACTTTGTTTCATATGGTGAGTCTAGAGAGCCGAAGACCCTTTTAGTTTTTGTTTCTATGGGATTGGGGGACAGCATTCACTTACCATAAGGTAGACTGTGTGCTTGTTTGTTACTCTTATTCTGTAAAAAATATCTAAAGTTATTTGCAGGTTTTTTAAAATAACAGGTACGACTTAAGGCAAAAAGTTTGTTTATTTACAATTTTTGTTCATTTTACACCTATTATAGTAATAGTTCTTAATTTAAAACAATAAATTATTAGCACACATTACTGTAGTATCTATAAATGATACCATTACCTGCTAAATATATTTCGTCGCCATTGAAAGCGATTCCCGAAGGCACAAAGTCCAAATTCATCAGTTTTCTAGGTATTAAATTATCTGTTTTCAGCCAGTACAAACCATCGTTAGCAGCTAAAATAACTCTGTTACTTTCATCAACGGCTATAGCTCTAGCTGAATTTTTAGCTATGCCTACGTACTCTATTGATTCTTGGAAACCGTTTAATAATACCTTAACGTATTTCGAATCGCATTCATAGAAGATATTTTCTTCTCCATCAACTGCTATTATAAAAGCACAAGGAACATATTCTACTTTTTTCTTTTCGTTCTCTTTAATATTCACAACGTATACTTCGTTATCAGGGAACGTAACAGCGTACAAATCATCACTGTTAAATGGTTTATACAGTTGAACTATATCTTCGTCTTTGAGACTTGCGAATTGTACTTTATCACTTGCATTTAAAACACCAATGCCATCGTCACTAGCGATGTACACTTTATTGTCTTTGACGTCCACAGCTGCGGCCTGGCCTTTCACGTTATCTATTTTAATCGGCTCACCGTTTCTTAGGATGTACTGATCCATTTTAGTCTGAACTTCATCATTTTGTAATGTTTCTAAATCTATTAGTGTGAAATGTAAATCTTTGTTGTTTGGATTGTACGCTAGGTTTGTTGGTAGGCCTTTTATAGTCAATATTGAAGATCTTGTATAATGCAGTCCGTCATATATATATGAACAATTATCGGCATGCACCGATGAGGCCACGAGAAGCATCAGTAACAGAATCATTTTGTATTTCTGCAATAAGAAAAACAATTAAAGATTGTTAGACATTTTTTGCATTTTTAAATTGCTTTAGTTTTATTGCTAAGTTCGTAATTATTCGTCTTAAGCTTTTCAGTTTACTATCAGGTATAGAATTCTCTCAAGTAAGTTTGAACTTATGGCGAAGCTTGGCAGGCGAATTCATGATACAATAATAACAATGTCCCCAGACCGAATTTCGGTCGTGGCGGCCAGCTATAGCAGGGACTAGACATCGGTGCAGGAGAGGATTATAGTGCCCAAGTGTATGTGCTAGCACAGGTGCACTCTCTATTCGCTCACTCTCGTAGTCCGATGGGACAGTAATCCAAAACAACCGGAGAGAAGTCCGGTGCAGGACCAACGGATTTACGTCCTTTCCGCGGCTCAGGGGGTGAAACACCGCCACCTTCCTAACTCCGGGCAGCTACTGAGAATTTCTTAATAGAAAAACTCAATAACTAATATTTTATGGCCCGATCCCGGGATTTGAACTCGGGACCTCATGATCAGTAGTCATCCTATTACAACCACTAGACCAACGAGGCAGTCAAAGAAAATTGATCTTGCATATTGGTACGGTTGCAACCGATTTTATTTTAATTGATCTTTAAATTTCGTTAGTTAAATCGAGAAGAAATTATATATTCTTAGCGTCACCCATTACCCTTACAGGCTATCAAAAATCCACTGCTAAACATAGGTCTTCCCCATAGATTATCTCAAAGGGAGTTATTTTCCATAAGTTATAACGTTTGGTTTGGTTCGGGTTGGTTACCACAGTTTTTTCCCTCTGTCATCTCTTACGACATCCACGTGGTGATATTGGGTAGTAGATATTCCTACACTAAACTTACTTACAAAAAATATATTTAATATTTTATTTTAAGGAGCTACTCCTAGCGAATGACTTTGAGCGTTTGGTTCTATACGATCCACGCGCTCTCGCTACAATACATATATCGCGTAAGAAATACGCCCAAATTTTTGGAATTATTTAAATTAAAAAAGAAAAGCGAACTTAAGAAATTAAATAAAACTTGAATAATAAAGATGTTTAAATTATCTGTCTATTAGTGTAATCTTCAAATGATTAGAGCGTTGCAACTAATGAGATAATAGTCTTTGAAAAACGCACTATCGCAAGGTGTGCGCGTCCTTATCGCGTGACCTTAAGCCAAAAACAATCAAAATTTTATATGCAAAATGTTAAAAATAGTAAACTTTTTCAGCCGATAATGTTCTCCTTTATAATTCTATATAATATAAAATTTAATAACGCGTATACAGTCTACTGCTGCTTTTAACCAGCTATTGCAGCTCGTAGGTGTCTATAGCCTACTTTAAACAATGAAAGACGCAGATGCGTTAATTATAATACACTAGAATTCTATTTTGTCATCATAACACAGTATTGGTTAAACTGCTACTTGAAAATAGTAATAGATAAGAGAACTTAAAAAGAACTCTGCGACCTACTTAAATCTTTATATTTTATTGAAGATATATGGACAACTTATAGATGCACAGATAGCACAGATGCGTTATCATTTCTAAGAACTATGATATTTTTCTAAAAAACGTTACCCCTACACTAGCATTTTCTCCTGTATCGTGGGGGCAGTTTACAAACACAAATTGCACAAGAACAAACAACCAGACCCGGAACAACTATATGTAGGCCATACAAATACTTGTTCCGTGCGGGATTCGAACCCCCCGACACGCGACGCGCTTAGCAAGAGGCTGCGCCCAGCGCAGTCACTCTTTGCTAAGCCACTGCACCACGGAGTCTTCAAAAAGAGAATTATATTGTAACATAATTGAATTCTCTTTTCTTACCGTATCACAATATTGGGTAAACTGCTACTCGGAAGTAGAAATAGGTAAAGGGACGTAAAAAGAACTCTACTATTACCTTTAATGAAGCTATATGGGTAACTTATAGATATATACACATTTTATATGCGGTAGAGCCACGCTGCAGCTATATTATGGTTGCAGCATGAATGGGTCGACTCAACTGGGCTGGTACATGCTCTCACAGAATGCCAGCGTAAAATAGCAGCTTAATACTGCTGTGTTTCGTATGGTGAGCGTAGAGATCCGGAGATCCTGTTTTACTGGAAACGAGGCGTTCCATCTTAGCCCTCAGGGGTGACTACGTATCTGCGTTTTGATTCTTAATCGAGGGTAAATCTAGACGTCTATGGGCCATAACATCCACTTACCATGTGGACTGTGTGCTCGTTTGTCACCCTCATTCTATAAAATACACAGTTTCATTTAAAAAAAAATGTTAATTGCAACTTTAAAGTGCTGATTTACCACGTGCTCACCGGTGAATGAAAACATCGTGAGGAAACCTGCATGTCCGAGAAATAAAAATATCATAAAGACGCTAAGTCCGCTAAGACTAAAGTACATGAGGGTAATAGCTTTGCCGCCATATAAAACCAAAACTAGGAAATGGACAGAGACAAAAAACAAAGTCGTATACTATAACTAATATATTAAGGAAAAAATTGCAAACAAACCTTGGCAATAATTATGAACGATTCGAAAAATCAACTTAAAAAAAACTAAAACAACATCATACTAAAAACGACTAAAATATTTACTATCTATAATATCAACTGTCGTCGATAAAGCAGTTCCCTTTTGACCTTTTATTATTCGATTGACTTATGAAGAGTCATCGTATCACAAAGCCATCTATGCAAGCAAGGCTGTAGTTTTTGAGTTATAAGAAAGTGACCACATTAACCAGATGACCATATTACCCTCACGTACTTGTTTCAAAATCCTTTCATAAATAAGAGTAGGCCTGTGCTGTACAGAACACATATAACAGGCTGTATCTCTACTTTACCTTTTCATATTTCATAAAAATTACTGAAATTAATTTTGAAATAACGCACTACGATAAACAAAAAATACTTCTGTTTTCAACAGGTGGAATGTTTTGGGAGCACCGTCGAGGCCTATTTAATATATTTTTTAAATCAGTTCACAATCTGCGAAGATATCACGTAACCTACATATACACATAAAGTCAAGTAAAAATAAGATATATTTTTTATTCTTATGAACATTTTTTTTATATATTTTCACTTAGAATATTATTACTAGGTATAAATTAATCTAAATGACAATTAAAAATAACTTACGATTGTTAATATGGTTGTCAAAGTAATATTGAATCGCTTGCGGTGGCCAAGAACACAAGAATATTACTGACAAATAAATATGGTTCACTTGAACTATCAAAGAGATCACTGAACTTATATCAAATAAGGCCGATGTACGTCAAAATTTATTATTTCACTATATTCCACTTATTTCTAAAGTTTTATTTATTGTTTAAAAATGTTAATTTGATTGAATATTTGCCTGTACAAATCAAGTTTTGTTTTTTTTAGGGAGGAAGCTTAAATGACACGTATCCATTGCAAAGGGACTTAAATTTGTTTAATAATATGAAAATATAATATGACACAAATAGCATTACCTATATTAATGGTTTTTATAGAATATATATAAATTATACGTGGTAGAGCCATGCTGCAGTTATATTAGTAATATAGTTGTAGCACGAATGGGTCGGCTCGACCAGGGAATGACCACGCTCTCACAGAATACACGCGTCAAATAGTAGCTTAACGCTGCTGTGTTTCGTATGGTGAGTGTAGAGAACCGGAGACCCTTTTTACTGGAAAAGAGGCATTCCATCTTAGTCCTCACGAGTGACAACGCATCTGCATTTTGATTCGTAATCGAGGATAGATGTAGATGTCTATGGGCCGCAGCAACCACTTACCATCAGGTGGACTGTGTGCTCGTTTGTCACCCTATCCTATAAAAAAAATTATAATATATTTAAGTATTAAGTATTTATTATAAATGTTGTATAATTCTGATTGTATAGTGGCGGTGTGAGATTATATACCATATACCATATCTTCCCATGGATGTCGTAAGAGGCGACAGAGGGAAACCGACCTGATGGGCACGAACGTCTCCCTAATAAAAACTAAAAAAAAAACAACTGCGAATGCCTATTCTCCTGCTAAGTGTGGTAACTTAGGTTGCTGTAACGGTATAATATTATAATTCAGTTAAATTTGGTTCTTTGAAATGCTTAATTTAGCTATTGAAGATCATTGTTGCAGCTATATTACGGTTGAAGCACTAGTTGGTCGGCTTGACCGGAAAAGGATTACCCTCTCACAGAATACATACTCGTAGATAAATAACAGCTTAAGGCGGTACCCTGACCAAAACCTAACAAAAGTGCGTTTTTCAGAGACTATTATCTCATTAGTTATGAGAAATAAGCTACATCTAACAGCACATTATTATTGTTCGATATCCTATCATCATATTTCACTTCAAATTTTTTTTATGTGTAATACATTTAAAAATCTACTTTTAAAAAATGACTAAAATTATTGATTACATGCATCTGTTGCTAAAGGAAACGCTCTAATCATTTGAGGATTACACTAATGGATAGATAATTTAAAAATCTATATTCTACACGTTTTATTTAATTTCTTAAGTTCGCTTATCTTTTTTAATTGAAATAATTCCAAATATTCGGGCGTATTTTTACGCGATATATTGTAGCGAGAGCGCGTGGATTGTATAGGACCGAACGCTCAAGGTCTTTCACTAGGAGAAACGTCTTAATGCTGCTGTGTTTCGTGTGCTAAGCGTAGAGAATCGAAGACCATTTTCACTGGAAATAAAGCATTTTTTTTCGGTGGTGACAACGCAATTGCATTTTGATTCTTAATTTTTACTCTCTCTTATGTTATGACTCTCTTTTTACGATACTTACATACTTAAAAATAATGCTAACTTCATACTATGTAATGCGTAATATGAAAGAATAAAAAAGTGTATTACTAGTATGTTCGTTATGATGTGTGTTCGTTTTTGTTGACGTGTGTTTTTGTTAATCTCTCTTCAACGTATTTACGATTCTCATCTCCTATTAAGTACTTTCTAGAATCTGTTTCCAGTGTTTGCAATTTTTGATTACGTAATCAATGTTTTATTACTGGTTTACTAAGATTCAGTCACTCTAGTTGGTAAACTTTATTTATATCTTTATATATATTAAATTATAATAATATAAATAAAATTTGAAGTGTCTGTCTCTTATATTGAAGTGACTGGATTATATTAAGCTCAGTGGAATATTTGCGTGTAACCATTTTAATTTTTTTGTCTGTCAGTCTCTGTTCGAAATTATCTTCGAAATGAGGGAACCGATTGTAATATAACTTGACGGACATATAGAGAGCAATTCCAGGAGTGATCCAGGCTATTTTCATCCGAAAACCTTGGTGTATTTACAAAAATTGATATGAAGTGTATTGCATGCCTTATAACTAGGTTTTTTATATGATAATGTGGCAAACGAGCACACACGAGAGACTGATTACGAATCAAAATGCAGATGCGTTGTCACCCGTGAGTACTAAGATGGAATGCCTCGTTGCTAGTAAAAAGGGTCTCCGGTTTTTACACTCACCATACGAAACACAGCAGCATTAAGCTACTATTTTAAGCTGGTATTCTGTGAAAGCGTGGTCCTTCCCCAGTCGAGCCGACCCATTCGTGCTACAACTATACTACTAATATAACTGCAGCATGGCTCTACTACGTATAAAGGTAGATGAGATAGTGGCTTACTCCCAATACGTTAAGGTCAAGCAATTTTGTGGTCTTAAAATGCCTCTATCTTGACCATATTGCACTTATACGATAATTTGAGTAGCCATATATCAAGAAAACACTCCAATTTTAATTATTTTTTTTAATTATTTTACATTGCTACCAAAAAAAAAATACGGTTCGAAAAAAAATTTATGTGTACGTCTGAATGTCTGTGTGTCGTTTTTGTGATAAGCATAATATGGTCATGATAACTCTCGAAAAAGTTGACGTATCGAATAAAATGATTTCTTATTTTTTATAAATATACCTTTTACCTAATAATTTATTTGATTTTATTTTTTAGCCCTTGATAAACAAAGGATAAATTAATGTAACATACAGCCTATATGGATTTTATATTTTGTGTAATCGATTTATTTTTGTAATTTATTTTTTTCATATAAAATATTTGTAATGGTCATGAAGCGCGCACTTTTGAATTTTCCAATTTTTTTTATATATTTAATCCAAATAACGCCACTTGTATATAGGGTAATTTTTCAAAGAGTAGCCAAATTTTAAACTTAAGTTCAAATATATAAATAATGATATACCGTTATTGCAGTTTTTTAAAATAAGAGTAAATAAGGCTTATGCTTTTATTTGAGATTATCCCAAATTGAATGTGTTTTACGGGCAACAACGTTTCTGCCTACCGATCGACCCCTTAGAATGTGTGCGTGCGCAGTAAAATCAGTTAAAATAGTGCATTACCATGCATTTTGAATTTAAAAGATAAAAAGGACAAATGTTTGAGACCAGTGTTTGAGATTTTTTTATAAATTTTTGTTCACCATTTGCCAATATTTCTTATTCTGAACCTTTTCTGCAAATTTGGCCGGTTATTGAAAAATAACTGTATAATCTTTAGTACGACAATTATTGAACTTCTGAACGACTTTACTGATTGAGGTGAGGATATTCAAATAATATTTTGTTTTGTAAAGACGATAGTTTACGCTAGAATTCAACGTGAGAAATTAAAATTTCGTTTGTCAAACTAGTCCAGGGGGTATCAGTGCATGAGTACCAAAAACTTTAAAAATTCATAACGCCGAAAATATTAACCTTATTTTATCATAAAAAGTCACAATACCTTTCTTATTTATATAAAGAATTTTAAAAATATCTTTTACATTTTATTCTTTTCTTTATACTAATTTAATAGGTCAAAAGGATCCGAATTTCGGATTTTTCAAACCTTAAAAAATTCATACCTCCGAAATTATTACTGTAGCATAAAAAGTCATAGAAATTTTTTATTCGTGTTTCGTCAAAATATTTAACAAAATTGTCCTTTTAGAAAATAGCAATACCTTAAAAAAATCAGTTTAAGCATAGAGCACTGAATTACCCCATGGCAATATGCATTTACATCATCGGTATAGCAATTTAAAGAAAATCGCATTAAAAAAATTGAGCTGGAATAGTTTCAGTACTCAAGCGCCGATTACTTTTGGACTTAACGTTAACATATTTTTTATCAATTACCGTTGCAAAAGAGTTTCCTCTGTTCAGAGAAGAAACAGCGTAAAAACCGCAAAAGTATAATTTTTTGTCATTTTTAAATACCAATAAATACCAATGATATGTTGCAAACTGGTTACTTTCATCTATGCAGACGATAGCACTGGTGATTCCTTATACACTACAATATTTCTCGGGAGAATGTCGCCGAGTACCGGGACAAATTTGTGTCTCAAGTCAAGTCCTTATTGAAGAAAGTCTCGGAATGAGAGCGATTGAATCTAGTCCAGTCCAATCCTCAGAAGACAAAAGCTTGCGCATTTACTGCTAAAGAGCACCCTTTTGTCGTATTCCTTAGTTTCAAGGCACTCCTATTGCTGCCTCAGCTAGCATCGGAATCCTTGGCGTCGAGATATCGAATAGTGTGCAGTTTCGTGGTCACTTGGAAGGGAACGCCTAATTGCCCTCTAAAAAGCTTGGCGTGCTCAGCAGAGTGAAACAGTATTTTATGCCAGCACATCGCTTGCAACTTCACAAAACGCAAGTTCGGTCTCTCAAGGAATAATGTTCTCATCTCTGGGCTAGGGCTCTCCAGTGCCAACTCCTTCCACTTGACCGCATACAGCGCAGAGCGGATCGAATCGTCGAACGCACATCGCATCAAAATTCACGATACCATCCTCACCATCTAGATGCTTGGCGGTTCGCCATTATGCGTTTCACAAGGATATTTCTTCCTTGTTAAACTTCTCTGTGGAATTGTTTACCACCGGCTATTTTTCCAGAACGATACGACTTAGGGACCTTCAGGAAAAGAGCTTACTCCTTTCTAATAGGCCGGTAACGCACCTGCAATTCCCCTAGCGTTGCGACTGTTCATGGGCGACGGTAGTCACTTACTATAAGGCGAGCCGCATGCTCGTTTGCCCCTCTTAATAAAAAAAAATCAAAATAAAAATATAAAAATAAAAGTAATAGGTAATCAAAGCTTGTTCTTTAAGAAAAAATTACGTTATTATAAAAATAATACTTATAAATGTGTTTTAAGGCGGAGCAGACCAGTTCAACAAGCAGCACTTGTTCACACAAAGTAAAGTAGCGCCTGATTAGGTGATTAGGTGGTAGGATACTTTACTTTCGTGACGTCTGTAACAATGGAAGCATTATACGATCTGTATGTTCGCGTTCCGTTGGACATTGCACGAACGATGTTAACTAGAATTATGTAATTATAAAACCATTTACTTACTTTCATAAATCATATAAATCATAATCAACACTATCATTATAGCTCAACACAAAGTACTCTAGTGGATTTGGAGAACTATCATATACCTATAACATCTAATATATATATATATATATATATATATATATATATAAAAAAAAATAAAAAAAAAAAAAAAAAATATATATATTGAATGCAGGAAATAAAGTAAATGGGGCTCTACACACTATTGTGAAAAGTCTGAATGTGTCAAAAAAGGCACGTATGGCAATTCACAATGCTGTATTAGTCCCTACTTTTTGTTGGGTGTGGCAGAAGAAGCACGAGAGTAGAATAAATGCAGTAGAAATGCGGTCGCTGAGGAGTATGTTAGGGCTGAATCTGAGTGACAGAGTGAGAAACTGTGTGATAAAAGAAGAGTGTGGTTTGCAAGATGATGCAGTCACCAGGATTAAGAAAGGAATGCTTCGGTGGTTTGGTCATGTAGAAAGAATGAATGCGGAAAGACTGACAAAGCAAATATATGTTGCAGAAGTGAATGGAAGAGTCGGAAAGGGACGTTCTAGGCGGAAGTTTGTCAACCAAATTGGCGATATACTAAAAATGGGCCAAATTAAGAGTACGGTAAGGTCGTTGTAGACGGTGCAAGCTCCGATTGCAAGCCTATTAATGCTGGTGTTCCACAGGGCTGTGTGCTATCGCCAACGCTGTTTCTTCTGCATATCAATGACATGTTGCGTACCCGTAACATTCATTGCTATGCAAATGACAGCACTGGTGATGCTCTTTACACCGGCCGAGCCAATATTTCTCGGGAAAACGTCTCTGAGTGCAGGGACAAACTTGTGTCTGAAGTCGAGTCTCTGCTGGACAGAGTCTCGGATTGGGGGCGACTAAATCTAGTCCAGTTTAACCCCCAGAAGACACAAGTTTGCACGTCAACCGCTAAGAAGAACCCCTTTGTCGTATCCCCTCAGTTTCAAGGCACTCCCCTTGTTGCCTCAGCCAGTATCGGAATCCTCGGCGTCGACATATCGAGTGACGTGCAGTTTCGTGGTCACTTGGAAGGGAAGGCCAAATTAGCCTCTAAAAAGCTTGGCGTGCTCAGCAGAGCGGGACAGTATTTCATGCCGGCACACCGCCTGCAACTTTACAAGGCGCAGGTTCGGCCGCACATGGAATACTGTTCCCATCTCTGGGCTGGGGCTCCCCAGTACCAGCTTGTTCCACTTGACCGCATCCAGCGCAGAGCGGCTCGAAACGTCGACGACCGAGTGCTTTCCGATCGGCTCGATTCACTGGCGCTGCGAAGAGATGTTGCATCTCTTTGCGTATTTTATCGCATCTATCACGGAGAGTGCTCTGAGGAATTGTTCGGATTAATCCCAGCCGCCGCTCTCTGTGGAATAGTTTACCACCGGCGATTTTTCCGGACCGATACGACCTGGGGACCTTCAAGAAAAGAGCTTACTCCTTTCTGAAGGGCCGGCAACGCACCCGCAATTCTCCTGGTGTTGCGGTTGATCATGGGCGGTGGTAGTCACGTAACATCAGGTGAGCCACATGCTCTTTTGCCCCTTCTTCTATAAAAAACAAAATAAAAAAAAACCTTAACCGACGAGCATATATGCGTAAGTATATGGCATGTGGAAGAGGCGAGAGAGGTATGTCAGGATCGTGCTAAATGGAAGTCTGTAGTCTTTGCCTACCCCTCTGGGTGACAGGCGTGAGTGTTTATGTATGTATGTATATATATTAATGAATAGGAAATTGATGAGAAACTGTAAATATTCTTATGTTCATTAAGTAATTATCAGTGGGAGCAATTTGAGAGCTTGTACGAGTATGTTCATCAATAGGCTTACATAATAGGGGGATCCAATTTAGAATATTTTTATCATGCTTTAAATCGAAGAACGACACAGACAGATAGTAGTCTTTTATAACTATTGTAAGTGTAAGCAAGTGGTGATGCAGTCGAAGATATGGTATTATATGGTAATTCAGTGCCCTGCAATTAGGCTACTGTCGCTTACCCACTCAAAAAGGTCGTGGGTTCGAATCCGCCATTCGACTACTGGCGTCAACCACTCGTAACACAAGCAATTTAAGCTTACCACGAGTGGTTAAGGAAAATATTAGTAATGTTTATAGCATTGTTAATATTCTTTTATTTAAAAAAAACCCTGTTCACTTTTTAATTAAAGACGTTGTAACCGAACGAAAAGAATGATGCTGGCAAACAATTCCAATCTTTTGCTGTAAATAGCTATCCATAAAATAAATAATGTTTTTGTTTCAGGTATATATTAGCACAATGTGGCTTATGCTGTCAATGTCGTATTGCATAGTCGCTCTAGTTCTATCAAAAGATATTAGAACACCAAACAGCTACACGTCGATTTTCAGAGAGGAACAAGTCATTTTCTCGTCAGTCTTTAACATAACAAGTATTCTAGTGCCAGCTGACAGCACCAAGTACATACCAGCCGACATTTCCGATATTCCATCTATTTTCTTTACAATATCTGACCCGAGACTAGACGGCGGTAGTTGCATTTATGTTCTTGAAGGATTAGCAGCGTACGAAGTGCTCGAGGGTGGAAGGGATTCAACAGCTGATTACGGTTCCAATAAAACAATTTATTTCGGGGCTAAAGACGGCCTCTATAAATATGACGCGGAGAGCTTATCCGCGAAAAAATTCGGTCCGTTCAAAGATGATATCCACCAATTGCAGAAGGGAAACAATACCGATGCGATTTTCATTCTTAGTTCAGAACGAAAGATATATAAAATTGAAAAGAATGGAACAATTAAAACTCTAATCCAATCCATACTCTGCGCAGTTGAATTTGTATTGGATACAGATAATAATATCTATTACATCTCGTGTGATGATCGCATTCCTCATATTGTTAGACAGGATGGCAGCTATATACGCTATGTAACAACTGCAGGGGAAGATTTTAAAGATATAAAATTGCTGCGTCCTGCTTTTATAATGGAGAATTGTGTGCCGTTTTTCGCTGACGGTGTGCTATATATCCTTTATTCCAATGGAACTAGCGAGAAAAAGGATTTTTACATCAGAGAAAGACCTTCGGCGTACAGCGTTGACGCAACATTGTATCTTGTAGCTGCCTTGAATGGTAAAATTTATGAATTCAACGTAATGGAGGTCTTGCTTAAATCAATGTTTGGAGTCGTGTCGCGTTGGCCGAGTGACGTCACTAAGATCATCATGTCGATCATAGAAAGCGCTAAGGACAGCGTTTATAAAGACTGGACAAATATTCTAGACCATTGATTGAAACCTTGCAAACGATCCTTGCAAAGCGCATCATTCATACAACACAAACACATTTTTCTGTCATCTTTCGTACAACGTAAACTGATCGAGCATAATTTTTATTTAATGCATCTTCGAATGAAATAATGAATTAAAGCATAATACTAAATGTGATTAAATTATTTTATTGAAATTTAATGTGTTTTATATACGTTAATAACACATTGTGGTTGGCCTGTATGAAGGTAGCGTAAGTACACAACATAACCTCGTTTTGTCGTAAAAAGTGATTATGCGAAATTCCTGAAATCTCAAAAACACACCAGGGCGGTTTTAATATCAAAAGCAATAAGTAATTATTAGCAAGCGGCTGGAATCGTCGACGACCAAGTCCTCTCCGATTAGCTTAAGCAGTCGGCCTTGCGTTGTGATGTGTGATGTGATGCTCTCTTCAACTTTGGTTGCAGCACGAATGGGTTGGCTCGACCGGGGAAGGACTACGCTCTCACAAAATACTTATAGAGATAATATTCGTAGAGATCCGGAGACCCTTTTTTACTGGAAACTAGGCATTCCATCTTAGTCCTCAGGGGTGGCCACGCATCTACGCTTTGATTCTTAATCGAGAATAAACGTATATGTCTATGAGCCACAGCATCCACTTACCAACAGGTGAACTGCGAGCGTTTGTCACCCTTATTCTATATTAAAAAAAACTACATTTTTTATACACTACGACGAATGCACCAAATAATTTCGGATAATTCCAGCTTTCAAATCCCGCCATCGAATATTGCGACTAAACTGTTATTTCTATCAAAATCATCTCGATTGTTAGCGAACATTTACCGTGCATTTTACGAGGATTTTTTTGGCACCCACCACCTTTGAGAAATTTACTACTGTCAGCAGTGTTTTGTATGAGATTGGCAAATTGTTCGAAACGATCGTTGCCACTTAGCTCAACATACATCTGTTGCTCATCGGTCCCGATTTAGCTGAAAGCTACTTTGGATTCCGACGGGAGAGTTTAACTGCAGATGCCATTATACAGTCCGCTCCCTGTCAGAACAAGCAGTATCCCAAGGTAGCGTGGCGCTGGCGATAAGTCTTGATATCGTCAACGCCTCTAACTCTCTACCCTAATACAATCAGGAGGGCATTAGAATATCACCAATTAACCGGAGTGACGGCTCCGTGGCGCAGTGGCTTAGCAATGAGTGGCTACGCTAGGTGCCGCGGGTTCGAATCCAAATAATTGTTCCGGGTCTGGATGTTTGTCCTTGTGCAAATTATGTTAATAAACTGCCTTCACGATACAAGAGAAAATCCTAGTGTGGGGCACGTTTTTTTTAAGAAAAAAAGATCGAAGAGTTATCTGCTAACCTGCAAGGCGTAATCCGGACCCAATCTGCGTGTGGAACTTCTGCTGAACTGCCAGCAGGAAGTAAATATCGTGTGCTATGTCGTTGACACACTGGTGGGATCATAGAATACTATAATACATACTCAATAAAACGGGGGAGTGGGCGGAGCCCGTATATCCACAAGCATGTCACTAACATGTCAATTTACACCTATAAATGTCAACACAATCAATCGTTTCCAATTTTCGTACTCGTATCAAGCATCGCTTCATGCAAATTATTTAAAAAGTGGCAAATTGTGCAATAATTACGTGTCAAAAAATAAAAAATAAAAGAACATCGGGATATGGAATTTAAATAATGGAGACATATCCTACAACCAGTAAGTCAAAACTATTTATATTTTCTGAATATTAGAAACAAAAATAAAGAAATATTGATATGTCAAAAACGTTAATCAAAAGTCTAAAATGTGCAAATTCACTCAGTCTGTCAATACAAGGAATCGTGTTTGTAGTAGTGATACGACGTAATTGCTTGTAGTGTGCTCCCTGCAACACCGAACCTCATACAAAATAGAGTTGACAGCCATTCTATTGTGTATTATAGTTTTCTATGGGTGGGATCATAGCCAACATTCTTCTTGTTCCATGGTTAACTCCCCCTCGCTTAACATGCCCATATCACGTTACCCTACTACTTCTCAACTTTTCTGTGACTGGGGCCTCTTTCAAACCGCCTTTGATACATTAAATTTTGACTTTATCTAATTTCGTCATCCCATACATCAATTTTAACATTTACATTTTAGTTACATATACTCTTCTTTCACCTATCTCTTTCGTAGCCTTTCACTGGAATCCAAAATACGACAGGCCTTATGATCGTCTATTAGATTTTCCCCTTGAACATAATGGAAAACCCTGGATCGTAAGTTGTTAATCCCACTATCATGAACCGAGATATCGAAATTCGGACACAGAATACCAGCGTGAAATAGTAGCTTAACGTTGCTGTGTTTCGTATGGTGAGTGTAGAGAACCCTTTTTACTGGAATCGAGTCATTCCATCTTGACAATGCATCTGCATTTTAATTCGTAATCGAGGATAGATGTAGATGTCTATGGGCCGCAGCAACCACTTACCATCAGGTGGACTGTGTGCTCCTTTGTCACTCTATCCTATAAAAAAAAGAAAAACTATATTTACGAATTATATCGCATTTAATTAACTATTTTAACTTATTTTTAATTCTCGACATTTCGAGTGCTTTATAGCCATGGTCACGGGTGGGGGGAAATGTTTGACGTCCCAATGTCATAGTTAGCCCGGCTACTTTCAGTGTTTGAATATAATATATTTTTAAACCGAAGGTTTAGCCGGGCTAACTATGACATTGAGACGTCAAACATCTCAGTATCTCCGTGACCATGGGTGCTGTAAAGCACCCGTAACATCAGGAAATAATACAATTACAAAAAATCATCATGTTCATTACAGCTTTCACAAATGTATTAAATCACTTATTGTTTTATACAACTTAAAGGAAACGAGCATACAGTCCGCCTTATTGCAAGTAGATGTTGTATCTCTACTTTTCGATTATATTACTTATTAAATTAGATAAACATCTACTCTTGAATAAGAACTAAAATGCAGATGCATAGTCACGCTTGAGGACTAAGACGAAATGATTCTTTACACTAGTAAAGAATCATTTCGAAGAAAAACGGACATTTTTACTAAATAATGTCCGTTTTTCATTACTCACTATCTAAACACAGCAGCACTATTCCGCTATTTTGCATTAGTACTCTGTGAAAGTATGATCATTCCCCGATTTTGCCGACCTATTCTATCCGCAGTAACAATGATGCAGTTCTCTCTGCACTCTTGCTTTACTTCTCTGTTTACCATAATGTGTGAAATCCTGAATCACCTACATCCATTAGGGCATTTCATATAAATGCTTTATTAAACATTTCAAGTCAGCTCTACAGAGTGTTCTGTAACTTTTTTGTTAAAAGTTTCTTAAAGATATCCATGCTCTGCAGTTACCACTTACTGACAACAATCAACACGTGGCGGCGCTGTCGTCGTGCCACAAGCGAAACACATCGAAGCCTAAATCGCACCAATAAAGTTCGGAATAAAAACAGTATATTTAACCCTTAAATCCCAACAAAAAGTCCAGGCAGTCGCATGTGCCCGGCAAATCCCGAGCGGTCGCATGCGACTGCACCCACCCGCAGCACTTAAAACCATTAAAATTTATATTTAGAGACTACTTTTCTATGAAGAAGTTTGCAATTATAAAGTCTATACAAAATTCTCTATATAAAAGTCAGGCTTTACTTCATTACAAAAAGACTAGTGTATTTTCATAACAAAAACAAAACATACCAAGAGAATGTTGGCAGCGTGAAAAGCGTGCTTTTTTATTTACATTACAATTTTTTTAATAAAACATTATACTCTCAAGACTAATAAAACACTAGAAATATCCAAAATTTTTCTTTTTCCAAAAAATTTATCCAACATTCACGCGACAATAGCGTACGAAATGAATGTAGATTATAAATAAATATCCATAGATTAACTTGACTTTTTATTGCACTAGAGGATAGAAAATTACATATTGATTCTATAATGCCAAACTTCTTCCTAGAAAAGTGCTGTGGGTGTGCGCGGTCGAATCCGACCGCTTGGATTTGGACGGAATAGCGCCGAGGTCGGTCGGATTCGACCGCTTGGGGCCTAAGAAGATAGAATAACTCCGTACTATGCGTACATGGAGCGTTGCCCGCTCCCCGGGCAGAACACCTTGCCAGGTGAGAGATCTCTTCTTTTCCTTCCTCGGCCACAAACTAACACTAACTGTTAGCAATTAACTTATTAGAGAAATCTACGATAAAAATGACATGGAACGCCATCAAAGCCACTAGAGCTTGATTCAGTTTAACCATAGAAGCGAACAATAAAATAAATCAATATAGGTATGTTTATTATTTTAAGTATTATTTTAAATGCCTGTAATAAAATTGTGGTAGCAAACCTAAACCTAACTAGATTTGTTTGTATTTCTTAATCTTACAGGTACTGATTTTGTTCACAGGAGATGCATTTAGAATTATTCCTTGGTTTTCCTCGAGCAATTTATTCAAATCCTCAAAGACATCACCAGCCAAAATTTCCAATAAGTTATATTTGTAAATTTTTTTGTGATATGCAAAGTATTGAACAACGGTGCCTTCCATAGCATAAGCAGATGGTTTGGCATTGGATGTGATTACAAATTGAGCTAGTTTGCATTTTCCGTTTGGATAAAGGACATAAAATGCATTAAATGTAAGGAGCACAACTCCTTCTTCTAGAACAGGAGGCTTTATGAGTTTAACAGACTTAGGATGTTCTGGCAATTCTGTAAATTTCTTCACACCGTTTTCATTGAGGACATACACTTGTTTATCTTCAGTATAGAAATATAAATTATTGGCCCTATCCAAAACTATTTCTTGAGCTCCTACTACGTCGTTTATTTTAACACTTTTTTTACCGTTATCAGTGACTTTATACAATTCGTGATCTTTATTCAGATAATAGATTACGTCAGTAGCGTTTTCTTTAGCAATTGCAATAATATCATCAGTCACAGAGCCGTATTTGACTGCTTTGTTTTCTTTGTTATCATACATGTAAATACCGTCTTTTGCTCCAAAGAACACATCAGTGCTGTTATCGCTACTTGCAGCAGCGTCGCGCCCATTTTCTAAAAGTTTTGTAGCCTGTCCATTCTTGTAAACGTATAGCCCTTTGTCTACTATATTACCAGCTGTGTCTACGTCAGCTTCAACGAAGAATAATATAAGATACTTATCAAAGTTCTCCTTTTTTTCTTCATCATCGTTTTCATCGAAGTTCAAAGAGTTTGTTGGTACAAGAATGTTTACCACGTCATGTTTAGCGTTGTATATTATAAAATTTTTACGATAAAAATCTTTAGTAATTGTAATTACTTCGTGTTCATCATATTCTTCAGAGACAACGTCAGCATTAATGGTACCAACAAGAAGGAGAATAATAAGTAATTTCGAATTTTTCATTTTGAATTCTGAAAAAAATAATATCAAATATATAGTATTATTTAGAGACAAAGTAATATTTTGGCATCTAAACTTATAGATAAAGATATTCGGGGGTTTCGGAAACAAGCAAAAAGGATGAGTCTTATGTCTGGCGTCATGATGAGCTGTAATGGCGTGAGTGACCCAAAAAATATAGCCAAATTGTTCAAGATTCACTTTCAGGTTCAACCTTCTAATCATAATGGAAAGCTTGCTTATAACTTTCTTTCTTGCTTTAACTTTAAACCAGTTTATAGTTGGAACTCAGAAACACACGGGTCAGATATCTCTTGACAGACACTGTGTCAATAGCATCAGTTACGCTAACTACATGGTGCTATCACTGCTGTCTTTTTATACGTGGTAGAGCCACGCTGCAGCTATTCTATTATATCTATCTATAGCTATTTCATCTTAATCCTCAGGGGTGACAACGATTCTTAATCGAAGATAAATGTAGACGTCTATAGATCTTAGCATTCACTTACTATCAGATGAACTGTGTGCCCATTTGTTACTATTATTCTATAAAAAATAGCTTGAGAGAAATTTGCGGAATCACATGACTGTATTTATAACACAAGAAAGAACGATCTTATGGTGTTCCGAGGAAAGCGACGTAAAGTAGCTTGTGTTTTACAAGAAAATTTAAATGGGTGGCTCTTGCGAGGGTGTCATCCTTCAAGTACCTCGGCCACATAGTTACCAAAAACTTGAAGAATAAAAGTGATATTGTAACAGAAAGCAGGACGTCTTTCAGACTGTAAAACGCCACCGAAAGGCGACTTTATGTGCAAAGTGGTAGGAAACTCCAAAACTATTTTGAAGGTCACAGTCTGGATTAGTGATAAGCCAGACTGTTCAGGCATACACTCATGCGTGTGTAACTAGTGCCGCAAACTGACCCGAATAATATTGCTACGAGCTTAGGGTTCGTGATATTAAAAACTGCCGAATGAATTACCAAAATTAACGCTTTAACTACCGAACATCAATTACAATTAAAAAAATGATGAACTTAAAACACGCTAATAATTAATCACACTGAACACTTTAGTTCGCAGTTAAATTGCTTCGAAGTATTCGCTTGATCGCCAATTCAATAATGACTCGGGTCGCGGTCATTACCAGTCTTATACATATAGGATCTTTTCTACTGAAACATCTTTTCGAGTACATACCGGTCCCGACCGACTAGGTGTTGTGAATTTTCTAGAAAGCTCTCCTAGTTCTGCTACTCGATACTAGATGGCGGTAGTGGCATCAATTACGGCGTGCAACAATATTTAAATTAACGTCTTAGTGTAGTTTCATTCTGTTCACTACTATAGTTTGTAAATTCAAGATGAATGCTAACACTTTTACGGACCAAAAGTCTGAAATAAATTCATTTTATTGAAGTTCATTTACTATTTATTATTTAGAATCATTGTGATTTGAAACTTGATGAAAAGAAAAAGCGGCACTAAAAAGAGACAAACATATACATCTATAGAATTTAGCCCGCGAGAGAAGAGATAGAATACATTATAGTGTTTCGTATTATCTGGGTCTCCTCTATGTGCGGTGCTTTAGAGATGGTTAATATAACTTGTAACTGTTATAATAAACAGTACAAAACCTCAACAATTTTATTAACTAAACAAAATTAACCATAACTAATTAAATTATCATATCAAATTCATTCATAATAATCCATATTAGTATTTAATTTGTCGTGCTTAGGCCATCTAGTGTCTATTTTACAAACCACAATAAACCGCTGCTATTCATAAAATACTTTAAATAAGATCATGAAACTTTGCATACTAACTGAATTAACTATAAAGCAGGGCTTATGTTTTTTATTTTTTTTTAAATTACGATTATTTTCACTGTAAAAAGAAATTACCTAAACTATCGGCGTCTTGAAGCTTGTTTCCTGCCGCCCGGTCAGTGTCGCTTCGGCCTTTGAAGGGGGAAGATGTGTCATTTACGATCAGGATACACATTACGCAACAGGACGACGTAAAATTAAAATGGGAAATAACCGTAATAAAAATAAGAAGCGACTGGGTTGGCGTAAAGAAACAGGCATAAATATGACAAACCTAATGAAATGATTTCTTATATTTACGCGAACATTGCACATGATTAAAACTACTTTTACGGATTTTATCGCGTTTATTTTTACTTTTTATTTTTAATTCCCGACGTTTCGGGCGCTTTCCAGCACCCATGGTCACGGGGGACTGAGATGACTGACGTCCCGATGTCATTGTTAAACCCGGAGTACTTAGTACTTACTTAGTATCAAATTGATAGACCACAAATCCTCGCGAAAGAACACCGATTCCTACCAAGGATGATACGTGAGGCTATTGAAATTAAAAAACATCCTAATTTCAATAGAGATGGAGGCTGGGTACTACCACCTGCTTGGGATCCTATAATCAATAAAATTAAAACTAAACCCAAGCATACCACTGCAAGACCTCAGGACATAGTCAGTTCATTTTGCATAGATCGGACCATAAACAATAATTAAAAAAGCTGAAGGTACTCCGGGTTTAACAATGACATCGGGACGTCAGTCATCTCAGTCCCCCCGTGACCATGGGTGCTGGAAAGCGCCCGAAACGTCGGGAATTAAAAATAAAAAGTAAAAATAAACGCGATAAAATCCGTAAAAGTAGTTTTAATCAAACCTAATGAAATAAGTATCTAACGACCTATCTACTTACAGTATTAGTAATTACAAACATGTCGGTACATAGCATACGACGCGCGGGGAAGTGAGGGCGAAATTATAATTTGAGCTGAGTTACTATATCCCCTTAAGGCAAAGTGACTGTGACAACACGAGTTTTAACGACATCTTACAATTGAGTAGCCTTTGAGTATTTGGCTATTAGTCTCTGAGCTACTACGTTCACAAGACCTTTGAGGGATTCCCCTTATTGAGTCCTAATTGTATTATTACTGCAGCATGAATGAGTTGACTTCATTGGGGAAGGACCTCGTTTTCTAGATGAATAGTAACAGCAACCGCAGGTTCTATTTACTGGTGATGAGGACTTTAACGCAATGTCTTATGTCTTTTACTTTTTAATTATTTTAACAACTGAGTCTGACAACCGCATCTGTTACCGTTACAGTACGTTCGCACTGAGAAACATCCAACACGTAATGTTTTGAAACAAATCGCATAAAATAAATCACACAACATGTTTTGTTTATGGTAGCGTTCACACTCACAAAAACTGTGTAAAATTTTCAACAGATATTGAAACTTATCTTTCAACATGACAATACCTGCACAAATTTGTTTTCAAACATTTTGTTTCTGTATTTACGAAGATATAATATAGTTCAAATATGTAATGTACAATAAACTGTCAAACATATTTCACTACAGCATGTTCTTTGACTATGCAAACGCTTTTGATACGTTGACAGAAAACAGTGCTTAAAACATGTTTTTTTTTATTAAAATCGTGTCAGTGCAAACTCACGGTTACAATACAAGTCTCACAGCATTACATACATGGCACATGTGATTTCTGGACCTCAAAAATGGCACTTACCGGGTCCAATTGTAAATATAAACCGTCCAGGGACTCACTCAAACACACACAGGCACTCACACAAAATTCATCAAAATCGGTTCAGCTATTTTCGGATTTTTGCGAGACAAACGGACGGCAATTGATTCTTGAATATAAAGATTATAATTTGTCACAATAAATATTATAATTTACATAAACAACACAATTAAGTGACGCCCTGTAGGGACATTGCAATTTAAAAGAGGTTAGTTTTTATTCTAAATACTAAATATTAACTAATACAAAATATCACTAACATATTTCTTAGCATTTAGTAATGTTATAATTAATGAATTTATGTAATTATTAATTATTGAAGTGATAACTTCTATAGAATCCTCGTTATATGAAACCGAAAAAGCGACACTAACTACAATTTAGCCTGGGAGAGAATGAGATAGAATACAGTATACAGTATACAGGGTTTCTATTATATCTATAATATAATTTCTATCTATAATATAATTTAATGTATAATGTTTTAAATACTTTTTAAACTTGCTCACAATGTTTGTTAGCAAGTTTCAAAAATATTGTTTTAAATATATTATATAATAAATTTATATTATAATTATAAATTGAAATAATAAATATTTAAAACAAGTTTATATTAAAATATATAATATAAACTTGTTTTAAATATAATGATTTCTTATATTTACGCGAACACTATACATGATTAAAACTACTTTTACGGATTTTTTTCGCGTTTATTTTTACTTTTTATTTACTTTTATTTTTGATTCCCGACGTTTCGGGCGCTTTCCAGCACCCTTGGTCACGGGGGACTGAGACGACTGACGTCCCGATGTCATTGTTAAACCCAGAGTACCTTCAGCTTTTTTAATTATTGTTTATGTCCATCTCAAAATGAACTGACTATTCCTGAGGTCTTGCAGTGGTATGCTTGGGTTTAGTTTTAATTTATTGATTATAGGATCCCAAGCAGGTGGAGTACCCAGCCTCTTTCTCTATTGAAATTAGAATGTTTTTTTAATTTTAATAGCCTCACGTATCATCCTTGGTAGGAATAGGTGTTCTTTCGCGAGGATTTGTGGTCTATCAAATCTGATGTAATGGTTGGGTCCGTCTAGGAATCACAAACTGCAGACGTTCCGGGATCAACGTAACGTACGAACATAAGTAAATAAAAAGTAAAAATAAACGCGAAAAAAATCCGTAAAAGTAGTTTTAATCTTATTTTAAATATTTTTAAACTTGCTAACAATGTATAATTAATAAGCCCTATCCTACAATTATCCCACTTCTATTCCTATGCATTCGCAAAGTTTAGTTACTAGGTTTCGCTCCTACCGCGTGTGAACTGAACACGTTATTCTATTACTTATTAAACTTTTTATCCGCATATTTAAAGATTTATTTTAATATTTT